TGTGTGTGTGTGTGTGTGTGTGTGTGTGTGTGTGTGTGTGTGTGTGTAAAAGCAAACCTGTTAAGAACGTTCTCTTCTCGTTTGATAAGCTTTTAGGAAGAGAAAACAAAGAAGCTCATGGGCTTTCTGTCTTGCTGATGTATTCCTGGCCCCATTCTTTAGCTTGGGTTTAAGGCACATCAGCGACTTTAGGTAGTGCTATCTTTATGTCATGCCATGGAGTATATTAGAGAAAGTGATATCAGAATACATGCCATGCCTCTTTCAGCCTGTAAATCGTAAATCTCATATTGCGTCACTAGAGCCTTCCCAAGCCACTGTGGATTCCCCTCCGAGAGAGTCATGACCCACAGACAGCTCACGCTGACACAATAGCTCATTCAAGACTGTTCAGAGACTTAAGACCAGTATTATTTAGTTGCAATGACAGAATCACTTTTTCTCACCCTTGATTTGCATAAAGGAAGTCATCTTCCACAGGCCTTGGCTATGAAATTAATACATCCTTATCATCACCAGACATACAGCCCTTCAGTCCACATATGTGACTTTGCAGATGCTGTGTGCCTCCAATCATGTATTTGTCATCCGTGTAGCTATACAGTTCATCTATGTATGGGGGGGGGTTCCACTCTTTAAATGCAACAGACATTTCTAGAACCTTTTCAATGAGATATCTGGCATCTAACCCGCTTTCTGCACTGAGATTCTTTGATAAATTTCTTTCTTTCAGCTACAGCATGAAATGGTGGCTGTGGAAGCCTGGGTAGGAAATTCCGTTTCCTCGGGCCAGTGTTACCTCCCCTGGATCAATCTCTGGCTTCATGAATGAATGATGTTTGCTCAGTAGGTTCCTCAAATAATAACTTAGATTTAGATTGCTGAAGCAGTGAGTAGATAGAGCCTTCTCCAAGTCTTATTTGGAGAGAGGCAGAGACAGACAGAGACAGACAGCGAGGGAGAGACAGACAGGCAGGCAGACAGAGAGACAGAGAGAGAGAGAACCTTGAGAACATCTTGATTCACTTCGAGTCTGGAGACAGGCCCCACAGGAAGAGGCCTTATCCCAGTCCCCTACCCCCTCCTCATTCTGTACATTTTGTTCTACTGATAGAAATCAGCAGAACTGAGGAGTCTGTTTAGAATCAAACCATTCGTGCTGGCTAAAAAACAGTGTTGCTGAGCCACGGAACTGCAGAGAAACACAATGAGCTTACTTTGGGGACTAATTTGGGAGAGCAGGGGCTGACTACAGAAGAACGAGGCCTTCAAAAATGAATTCATCTGCTCCAATGTGGTGCTTCCTACCTGGCGTGAGCTCAGGACGAAATTAAAGTGCAGGTTTAGTATATTTTCTTGTAGCATCCTTTATGGGAGCAATTGACAGCAATTCCTCTGCCTGCTTCTTCCCATAATATTAACCCTCTCCTTGCTCTCTCTGCATTTCTTACTCCTTTCTTTCTGAAATCACTACGTGATGGAAACAGAGGCTCATACATTCGTAGCTCAGAATGGCAAGCCAGCTTAGCTTTGCCACCTTAGTGGTTTTGTTGTTGTTTTGTTTTTAACCTAACCCCTCTGAGCCTTCGTATTCTCTGCAGTAAAAAGAAGAAAATGTTTATGTAGCCACTTTGCTGAGGTGCAGCGTTTTTTTAAATCATGGCGGCAGCTGTTGCTGTCTCTGGTGCCACCTCATTCCTCCCCTTGACCTCCAGCTTAAATGTAGCCATCCTCAGTCGAGAGGCTTGGTTGCTGCTGGGCTGCTAGTTTGCATTCTTTCTTCTGTCAGACCCCAGGGGATCACTTAGCATAACTTCTGAGAGATAATTAACAGAAACGATGCCCGTGTGGTTTTAGTTTCCCACTAGGCCTTCCTCTACCTTCAAAGCATGGGAGATCCGAATCACGTTTAAAACCTGGATAGATTTCAATAGTAGGTCACTTAGCCAACTGTGGGAAAATGATTGGGGAAAGTTGAATGTGACCGTTTCTCACCTTTCAGCTAAGAAGAGGTGGGTATCTGTTCTTACCAGATAGGGCAGGGTGGTGAAATGGGAGCTCCCTTCTTTCACTCCCTGTCTCAGCCTGCTATTGCAGTATCTCCACGAACAGTGCACTCCAGGGGATCTCAAAAAACAAAGAGATAAAAACCGGATGCGGGTGGAACGCTAGGGAAGGGTTCTGCTATGAATCCTAACAACCAGAGAACTGGAGCCAACAGCCCCAGATTCACGTGCATATGTGGACAAAGACATTTCTTCTGGCAGCAGCTTAGATATGCTTTGAAAACTTTCTCTAGGGACACGTAGACAAACGCCTACCTTCTCCTTAGAGACCACCAGGGACTGGGAGAACCAAAGAACTGGGCTTGCTTACAGAGCAGAGAGTTCCTTACGGGATCATGAGTGACCCCCAAGCTGCCATACCACCAAAAAAATCTCACCCCAGCACAGATGATAACTTTTCTATTACTGCATAGATAGAGTCTTAGTGAAACCTCCAGCCTGTGTGTCCCAGCACCTTCAGAGACACCAAGGCTACATGCAGTTAAGGTAGGCTTACATACAAATGGCTGGGAGGCACAGGAGGGGGTGGACAGAATCCAAGGTGAGATTCCAAGGATCCTCCCCACCCCTCCCTCCACGAAAGAATGTCCACTGTCAACAGGCTCTATTTTGAGGGTCTCCTGCAAGGAAGCACAGCTGCTCTGATTTAAAAAAAAAAAAAAAAAAAAATGGCAGCTCTTATGCTCAAAGCATCATGTTCTACAGCAGATATTACAAAGTCCACTAGGTCCTGAATTTGGTTCCACAGGAAATAGGCTGGGGATTGATGGCACTGAAAATGGTGTTGCCTGGATCCCACCTGTGGGGTTAGCTACCGGTAAGATGGGTCTGAATACGGCTTGATCCCCCTCCCCCAGGATGTTCCCCCAATAAGAAGCAAAGATTGTGAAATGCTCAGTTCATCCCCCGAGCATTTCAAGGGAGGAAAATTGAGGCAAAGAGAAGCTCAAGGTAGCTCTTGTAACAATCACAGTCTGAAGACCTGGGTGCTCCCTGTGCAGAGGACAAAGCAACTGTAAGCTTACAATTCATCAAGCTCTCTGGCCTAGCAGCCACCAGAGGTCAGCTCAGACCACAGCTCAGCTCATGGCTGAGAACACAGGAGAGCCATGTGTACTGCTCTCATGGGTTAAATCTTCATGACTGTATTTCTCTACAAAGTCTTGTCTCAAGCCCCCATGGCTGCCTGGGCCAATGGTTCTCTGGCCTTGGTCTCCTCTCCCAAGTGCTACGGGTGGTTTTGCATATGCACAAGATGTCTGCGGGCTCCAGGACCAGATTATCTGACTGGCCCAGCCTCTAGCTTGCTTTGTAAACTTTAGAAGGAGAAAACCGAAGTCCGCAAGGCTCCCTGCTCCTATGCCTTGTGCTTTCAGCTCTCACCATAGCAACAGCTTTGATCCCACGTGTTCCTCCTGGCTGTCTTCCCTCTCAAAGCCCACATGCAAGAAAGCGCTCTAGTAAAACGGCTTACTACACAACACAGAGGCTCCTGCTCAAGTCAGCATGCTCTGCAACTGAGGGGGTCGACATTTTCAGCTCTGCCACAACCTGTGAAAGGAAAACTTTGCCATGTCTAAACAAACCCTGACCTCAGAGAAAAAACAGGAGATACACTTGTTTCCACGGCCTCCTTTGGCCCAGCCAGCCCATGTGTGGATCAGAGTGAGGAGGGTCAGGTCCTATTGTGGTGCTGTTGGGAAATGGATCTGCTGAGGCAGCCACCTTGGGACTGCAGGCTCCTCACACACAGCCCATGTCTCTTGCCGGAGCATTGCTGGGAAGATGAGAGGAAGCTTGGGTTAGTACAGTTGACTAGTCTCTGGGAGATACTGCAAATGAAGAAGCACCAGCAATGGGTGCTGAAAACAACAGAAATCCTCTCTCTCCTGGTTCTGGAAGGCCAAAGTCTGAAATCAAGATGTCAGCAGGAGCATATTCCTTCTAGAACTTTCAGGGAAGAACCTTTCCTTGCTTCTTCCAGTTTCGGGCTGTCATGACGCCATTATGCCCATCTCTACCTACATCTCGGTCTACCAAGCTGTTTATATGTGTCTCCTCAGTATATGGTGCACATCTCAAACTCCTTCTGCTCCAGACAATGCAGGAGAAATGACTCGTAATCTATGTCTTAACCCCAAATTTTCATATCTAAGGCAATTGTGTATGTGTGTGTATTATGTACACATGCACTATATAAAACAATAATCATAGGTTCTAGGAGTTGAGACATAAACATACCTCTAAGGCTACATGAAATAGAAGTGGACTCTCAGAAAAGCAGAGGTGCTGGTTAGTTTTTTTGTCAGCCTGACACAAGCTAGGGTCATCAGGTAAGAGGGAACCTCAACCAACCATCAGATTGGTCTATGAAGGCATTTTCCTAATTAATGGCTGATGTGGGAGGGCCTGGCCCACTGTGAGCAGTGCCATTCCTGGGTGGTCCTGGGCCTGTATAAGAAAGTGGTGCACACCTTTAATTCCAGCACTTGGGAGGCAGAGGCAGGAGGAGCTCAGCCTGGTCTACAGAGTGAGTTCCAGGACAGCCAGAGTTACACAGAGACAAAGAAACCCTGTCTTGAAAGAAGAAGAAGAGAAAAAAGAGGAGGAAGAAAATAGGAAGGCAGGAAGGAAGGGAGGGAGGGAGGGAGGGAGGGAGGGAGGGAGAGAGGAAGGAAAGAAGGAGGTTGAGCAAGCCATACAGAACAAGCCAGGTAACAGCCTAACTCCATGGCCTGTGTTTCAGTTCCCACCTCAAGGTTCCTACCTTCATGACAGACTGTGAGCTAGAAGATGGCCGAACAAGAACATAAGGCAA